AGAGCGTGGAAGAAGAAGAGCGGCGAGCAGTGCAGGAGCAGGCCCTGGCGGTAAGCGGTTATGGAGCTGTGGTTGGAAAGGCCAGGGTCATAGCTCCTTGGACCGTGGCAGTGTGCTGTTGCTCGTCTTATGGCATTAGCTGGGTGCCTACGATTCCTCCTTGCTCAGACCTGAGTGCCTTGGGCATCTCCACGTTGCTGCTCTCTGTAGCCATGGCACCCTCCCCCGGGCTGGTGCCAGCTCCTGCGGGAGGGACCTGACTCCGCGGTGCGTGGTGGAGCAGAGTGGGACGGGGGCTCGGCTGGCAGCCTGCGTTGCGTTGGAGCTGCCTGCGTGGCAGGGCCAGCAGTGCCGCAGGTTCTCTGCCTGCCCTGCTCAACTGTGCTTCGCGCTGCGTCCCCCCAGGCCAGCTCCGTGCTGCTACGGTGGGTCTCGCAGAGCGGCCCTGGCGCAGGAGGAGGGGGCAGTGCCTGCCTGCGTGCAGAGCTCAGGGGAATAGAAGCTGTTTCTTGCTTGGCTTTATTTAACCCTGGCACGGGCCTGGTTTGAGCGGGACCAGAACAGACACGTGGCCTTTGGGAGAGGCTTGGCTCTGCTGCTCTGGGCTCCCAGCAGCTGTGGGCATCGATGTGGACAGGAGAGGCTGTTTGCCCTCAGTGAGCCAGAGAGTTCCTGTGCGCTGTGTAGTTCCTGTGCGCTGTGCCGCAGTGCGGGAGATCCCGCATGAGTCCAGCGGAGGGGTCTTGGCGCCAGGGTATTGAGGCCTCCCACCTCCACTCCCAGCCTGCTGCAGCTTCACATTGTGTTTTTCTTGCCAGGTCTCGTTATCCCACACGTCCTGCAAGTCGCAGTCTTGTGGGGGTGGCTCCCACTCCTCCTCCTCTTCCTCCTCCTCCTCTTCCTCCTCCTGCCACGGGAACTCAGGGGACTGGGACCCCAGCTCTTTCTTGTCCGCTCACAAGCTCTCGGGCCTCTGGAACTCGCAGCACAGCAATGGGGCCACACAGGGCAGCCCCCTCGGGGCCCCCCCGGCTGCTCTAGGTGAGTTGAAGCCAGCTGTGGGGTCGAGCAGTGCTTTCTGTCTGGGCCTTGGCTTAGCCTGTTTCCTTGCGGGCATCTGACTGTGGGCAGGGGTAGGCAGCCAGGCTGTGCCTTTGAATGCCGGCGCCAGCAGGAGGCCTGGGTGCCATCCTCTGCCGCAGCAAAGGAAGCAGAATGTTGGGGTCCTGGGGCGCTTGCCCTCTTCCCCACATCGGTGTGCTGAGCTGCGGGCAAGGTAGAGCGGGGTGGCTGAGAGCAGAGGTGCTGCACTGGAGGACAGGTGTGTCTGCATGAGGCTGTGGAGCTTCTTGCTCTCCTCTGTGAGTAGGAGAGGCTGAGCAGAAGCAGGCCCTAGCTCCGCTTTCCTTTCAGGCGACAAGCATCCTGGCCTCGCTCTCTCTCCAGAGTGCGTCAGCCAGGCTCCTGCCACGGCGCCTGGGCTCAAGGCCTGTCCATACAGCCATGCGGCCTCCCCCACGTCCAGCGGCGCTGCCCCGGGCTCGCCTCTGCCTACCTCACTTGACTTCTGCAAGACGCTGCCGAAGCAGTTCAAAAGCATGTGCCGGAGGGCCACCCCGCCAGGTGCGTGTGTGCAGGGGCAAGGCTGGCCTGATTCTCCCAGCGCGCCGCTCTGCGCTCCCCTCCTGCCTCAGCACCTTTCCCCTTGCTCAGCTGTGTGTGGGGCAGAGCCAAATCCAGCGTGTGTGGTGGGGAGGACACAGTGTGGGACGCTGAGGCCCCTTGCACGCAAGGGTGGCTTCTAGCCCAGGTGCCCTGCTGCTTGGGGGGAAGCAGGGGGAGCCCTACAGAGAAGCAGCCTGTGCGGAGGTGGTGGGTGCTGTCTGTCCTGCTCCCTCAGGAGTGGCCCCTGAGCGCGGCCTCCTGGCTGAGGAGTAGCGTTGTGGGCATCTCTCAGCCTCAGTGGGGTTTTTAGGCCTTCTTCCGGCCAGCCTGGATCTTGTGCTGAGGGACCTATGTGCTCCTGGCCTTGAGGTGGCAAGGGGCTGCAGGGGTGGCTCTCGAGTGTGACCCTGGCCCACGCAGGACAAGGGGTGTCTGACCGTCTCTGCTCCTACCCGTCTGCAGGTGAGGCCTTCCACTCCTCAGAGCATCATCAGCACTCGGACCTCACTGCTCCTCCCAACAGTCCCACTGGCCTCCCCTCGCCGCCGCCAGCGCTGATCCCCTCCAAGCAGAAACC